CAATTAGGCATGAATCAATGTTTGCAACAATTAATTCTTGAATTCAAACAAGAACTAGGCTAAATATCACTAACCCAATCACAAACAAGTCCCAAATCAAACACCCATTAAGTACCCACACTAGGGTTGGGCCACAACCCTAGCTAGAAATTTAGCTACTCATGAAAAATGAAAAAATACAAGAAGAAATTAAGATAGAATGCATAATAATTGATTAGGTAAATAAAATCTAATGTTTAGAAGCTAATCTAGTACAAGATTACTCAAAACAGTAAAGAAAAATGGCTTAGGTGCTCTCCCAAAACAAAACTTACCCTAAAAATAACAAAAAGTTATATTTATACTAAGCTGAAAATATTTGACAAAAATGCCTCCGCGGAGGTTGTGCGGCCGCACAATTTTGTGTGCGGCCCGCACTCTGAGCTTGACTGGTCAATTGGGCCTTCTGCGATCGCATAAAAGTGGGATGCGGCCGCACTTCATCTAATTGTGCGGACCGCATATTTCTGAGTGCGGCCGCACACTTGACTTGGGCTGGGACTTGGACCTTCGTCTGCGGACCGCATAATTATGAATGCGGCCATACCTTTGAATCCTGTGGCCGAACAATAATAGTGTGGTCCGCACAGCTTCAATCAAGGCTCTCTGATTCTGGTCGTTTGCGGCATAATAGTGAGTGCGACTGCACTTGGCATCCTGCGACCGCACAATAATGGTGCGGTCTGCATTTCTTCAGCTTGCCCAAAATTCCAACTCTCTGAATCACTCTTCTACGGCCGCACCAAATTTATGCGGCCCGCATACTCTGAAGCTAATCTGACATGGCTTCTTCATTGTTTGCGGCCGCACACAGTATTGTGCGCTCCGCACTGTAAGCATTTTTGCCTTATTTTGGTCTCTGTCCAATTTTTGACTCCTATTTAGTTGATTTTCACTTCTTTGGCTCATTTCCCAATATTCCTGTAAGAAAGCTCATTTCATTAGTTCTCGAGAATACCTTTAAGCATTTTTTATAGCTAAAATGCAAGTAAAAGAGAGCAAATAAGCGGTCAAAATCCCTACTTATTACTACTCTCGTGGGAGCAGAAAGAACCCGAGCATCCTCCGGGACAGTGATGATTATCGACCTCTTACAGCCGAGGTCCGCACTGGGGGCGGAGTACTGGAAGACTAACTTTGGGCTTGAGTTTAGCCCTATGATCTATTAAGACGGATCCTTTCTCAGCACTTCAAGGTCGCCCATCTCTTAAAAGTCTTCCAAGACAGATGAGTCCACGCCGACAAAAAGGAACGAAGGGGATCGTCCACGCCATGAGACCCTTCGTTAGATTTCTCCTTCCTTACTTTGGCTTTTTAGAGCATAGACTCGGTGTAAAAGGGCATCCTCGAGATCTCAATTTTAATGGGCACTTCATTCGGTGCAGAACCGGCATCATGGAAAGTTTCACCCCGGGGATCCGCGTCGGCTTTCTAAGTTAAAGGGGGGTCGATCTCGCGAGTCTCCCTTTCATATGCCTCCCAATCCCCGGGATAGGTGGTCGTCCCATGAGTTACGAAGACAGATTCCTCCTCCAGGTCATCCCTAAGCTGAAGAAGGGAGTCGGAGGCACGCACACGGGAGCTGGAGCCCCTCCTGGGCTTACGGAGCACTCGCTTCTTCGGTTTCTTTGCCTCGGAGCTCGGTGAGCCTAGGGGCTTTCTTTTTCTTTTCTTATTTCCCTCCATGGCGGCAACGGAGGGATCAACGGGCGGGGAAACATCTTCGTCCCTTTCTGAAGGCCAAAGTTTGGTAGTCTTAGGCAAACCTACAATGATAAAGAGGAGAGATTAGTGTAATATAAAACAGATACGTAATGTTGGCTATTCGGGAAGAGACCTTACTATGAGTACGGGCTTCCCATCGGCCGTTTGAGAGTCTGTGCCATGTGCGCTCGAAGTAGGACATCTGAGTACAGATGCCCTCGATCCATTCCTTTAAATGGGGGACCACATTCGGAACCCGGGCAATAGCTGCACAGTCTTAAACATAAATAAGAAGATCGAAATAAAAGAAAAATAAATTTTGATGAAGGAGTTACACTTATGAGACACATTCCATTCCTCGAGGAATGGCATGTATTCTGGGGGACCAAATCCTCAGTCCTCACTTGGACGAAGCGACCTTGCCAGTCACAGTCTCGGTCTTCGTCGATACTGGAGAAGGGGACCTTGTTGTCCCAGCGTGTAAGCTTGATTAGTGCCCCTTGAAATATTCAGGAACTGTATAATCGGAGCAGGTGGTCGATCGTGAACCTATGAGATTCGGTATTTTTCACGAAGTAACGAAGGAGGGTCACGATCCTCTACAATGATGGATGGATCTACCCGAGGCACACTTCGTACCTCTTGCAAAATTCCAGGACGATCGGGTCTGTCGGGCCCAATGTTAAGGGATAAGTGTAAATACTTAAGTACCCCTTCACATGGTAGTAACGGCATCCTCGGGCCCGGGGACTACCACATCTTTGCCTTCCCAACCGCAGTCCTTAGGAACTATGGGAAGAACGTCCTCAGTCACCGAACATATATATCTTGAGACCCCTTCTCCCCGGTCTTGTCTGCGCGAGGGCTTCTCAACCTTGAAGTCGTCAGTAATCGAACAGCCTCCGGGGATAAATATAGATAAAGGAGGCTCGGGGGCTGGTTCGTTAACAGTCGCAATATGAGAAGTCGCTTCGAGGGCCACCACCTCAGGGTCACCACTTCAGTATATAAGATGAAGAGGCAACTTGTTGAGGAACGGTTTTCGATTTTTGCTATTGTCATTTGATAGAAAGTTGGAAAATATGATGAATAAACACGAAGCTTTGGAGAAATGGGTTTTAGATATGAAGAACAGGGTATGAAGATTTGAAGAAGTTTTTGGTAGAAATCTCGAGATTGCTAACAGGGATGAAGATTTGATGAAGGTTTTGATAATAGTTAATGGCTCAAAGATACCAGTTTGATCGAAAAGAAGAAAAAGGACAAAGGAAGAAGGCTTATATAGGGAAACAGTCGACGTTTCGCATTCGGAGCAACCTGTCGGTAAGCGACACGTGTCTGAAGTCATAACGACGCTATTGATGGGACGTTTTAGTTCTGCGTCGTAAATTACGAAGGAAGGAACCGGAGTCATCTATCGTTTCCTATCGTTTCGGCTAGCCTACTCTCTGAGAAACGAGGGGACTATCTGTATACGGGCAAAACCAAGCTCGTCGCATGACTCGAATTTCCGGTGAGCCGAGCGGAGTGGGAAGATGACCGTAACATATCGGAGTCAGAACGAAGAACTCCTCGTATCAGGGATCATGCAAACACCTGCCCTCGGGGATATCAGGGCCATATCCTCGAGGTCCAATTTAAGGGTTAAGACTTCGGAGAGCATCACCGAGCAGATGCACACGACTAACAAAGGGTCGTGATATCCATACCCAATCGGATATCATGACGCGAATCACGGCTCGTATCAGTGATCGGCGTAACGAAAGATATTTACCTTTCTTAGAATTGTACTTAGGGTAAAACTCTTCTGCTATATAAAGGGAAAAGATTATTATTCATAAAAAAAATTGTAACACGCATATCAAGGCAATATACTCTTATTTTCTTTGTTATTCAAAGTTCTTACTTTTGTTCATTAGTTCTTCATTGTTGTGAGCCCGGGATCGAAGGCAGACATTATATTAAGCCGTTATTGAGTCCGGGATCACTCCCCTTAATTGGTTTGACAATTTATTACATCCTTTATTTGTTTAATCTAACATTATTTATCATTTGTATTGAATTGATCCGCATATCCTTAAAATCACATATAAATTCAATTGTTATCCGTTATTTTTAGGATAAACAACTACATTTGCCGGTCTAGACATACTCAATTTTTGAGCTTTAATTTGCTTCTTCTTTTTTTCCATTCAAACCATGTTTAATTCTTTACCTCTTATTTAGTATCCTATATAAGTAACAATAAGATATTTGGTATAGTGCTGAAGTCTGGCACTAGTCAGATTTGAAACTGTTCCAGCTACACTTCATGTAATGTCCTGCCGCTGGTCTCTTTCTACTTGAATTTCTAAGCTGTTATTATTTCTTTCTCCCCTTTTGGGGGATTCTTGTGTTAGGCGTTCTTTTTAGATCTCGACTAATCTGGATTCACGTGATATAAGACTTATTAAAGATGAAAATGTTTATTATCAAGATATTTTTCATTCTCGTGATTCAAATTCGAGACTTCTAATTAAGGATGAAGGGATCATAGTCATCTAACTATAACTGTTGGTGATGTTATTATTTCGTTTGATTAGCCGAGGATCTATCCGAAACAGTCTATCTACCTTCACAAGGTATTTATAAGGTTTGCGTAAATATTACCCTCCTCAGATTCCACTTGTGAGATTACACTAAATTTGTTGTTGTTATTTACGTTATGTTATGCGAGATTGTTGCCTCTTCTTGTATAGCATTATGCTGCCTCCAAGGCAAAGAACTTTGGTTTTTAGAAGTGAAATTTTGATTGGTACAAGGCTTAAGGATCTTTAATATCAAAGTGAATGTCATTATGTTTTTAATTTTTCAAAAATATATAACCGAAACCAACTTACATACTTCATAAATGCTAAGCATTTATGTATCTTAATTAACCGTTTAAATATTTTTATACCGTTAATAGATATATTACAAACTTCATTTTTTAATTTTAAGGTAATGATTAGTTTTATGCTCTCAATATCCTAATTGTGCTTGTTTCAAGCACAAGTAGTATATTGCCGTCAAAGCTTATGGTCTAAGTGGTACTAGTGATACAAAATGTGTGAAGTCAATTCTCACTGTCTCATTTCTCCTTATATAATCAACAAATTTGCTTTTTAAAAATAAAAAATAAAAACTAGTAGTACATGGCAATTTTGTATAAGAATATTAATTTCTTCATTTTGGAAGAGCTTGGTAAAAGGATAATTAACAAGTAGAACTATTTTTATTCTTCAAATTTAGCCATTGGAGGAAAAGAGGAAATTGCCTTATCCACTGTTATTGGTCACAGCTAAAACCAGTTCAATCTCTTAAAAAAATAGCAAAAATCAGATTCCCATGGCTTTCTCTTCAGCTTTTTCACACACCACCTTCACATATTCTTCATCTTTCTCACATACAAGAAAAATAATTAATACCCCATTTAGATTACCTTTAATTATTAAAGCAGAAAATCCCTCTGAACCAATAGACAATGAAAAACCTGCAAAGCCAAAATCCAAAGAAGAAACTTCCTCTACAGCCACTGCAACAAAGCCTAAAAAACCTGTCTATTCTAGTGAGTATTGTTGAAAAATGTGTCCATTTCTGTAATTCTTTTTTTATAATTTTATTACGAATAATTATTTTGTATTTATTTTTGTTTTGGTTGGCAGTGAAGAAAGGTCAGATAGTCAGGGTGGATAAGGAGAAATATCTTAATAGCATCAATGTGAGTTTTAGTTTTATAATTGTTGGTACAATTTTTAACCATGCGTTTCTTTTTCCTTTTTTTATTTTCCTTATTGACAAAGACTGATCTAGGATTTAAATTAGTTAGTGCGAATTGGTAATGTAACACAAATTTTTTTTATAGAATTTGAATTTGAATATCTAACGAGGTTTTATAAATTTTTCAGTATTTGTCAGTGGATCATCCACCTTATTACAAAGGCCTGGACTATATATACGAAGACCGTGGTGAGGTACCATTTCCTGATTTTCTACAAATATTGTAATGTTGGTAAGGAAAAATGCAATTTGGAACTACATTTTTTTGTTTGATTATCCGATATTTGGTAGCCATTTAATCGATAAATTCAAATTCGTATTGTGTAGTGACCATTAAATGGGAGAGTTCCTACCAATTTGGAACCACATTCAGTTCTTACTTAGGAGTTGGAAGGCAAAATAGCTTTTAATTTAGAAGGAGCATGTTCTCGACTTTGCTATGCGATGTTTATTTAATTATTGTTTTTTTTATTTTTTTGGTAATTAAAGATTTTACATTACCAAATGTAAACTATATACAGTATTTATTTATTTATTGATTGATTGTTTGATGGTCTTGCACTAATCATATCCCTTGTTAGGTATTGGATTTGCGCATATTCGAGACAGGAGAATATGCACTTGTAAGTATATCTTTTCGAAATTCAATTGATTATATACTTCTTTAATTAACCATAAATAAATAATAGGAGTATAATTACGACGAGCCTTGAAACAAGTAACCCCATAAATTAATAGTTTAAGAAAATTCATAAATTCTTGTTTAGATCAAGACTTGAACTAACATTTTTACCCCTTTCCAACACTATATACAAAATAGCTTACTATTTTTTAAAAATTAATTAAACCAATGCAGTTATAGTTCACAAACCAGAAAATAAGTTCTACTCTTGCTTTTGAGTTATCCTATCGAATTAACTTTATTGTAAGCCTGAGAATGAAAATCTCTTGGTAGAGAGCGTCTTACCTACTTTAGTATATCTATCCAACATGAATTCGGATTATCCGAGCCAATGTGTTACAGATACATATGATATATGCCTAACACCACAAAACAAAACTTGGTTGGCTCTTCTTAACTCAAAGCATGCATAAATCCCACTCAATATTACCTTAAAGGAAGTCGAACTTGAGACCTCACGGTCTAACTAAATGACACCGATGAGGGTTGTGGTGGAGTGGTAAGTACTCCTTCATTCTTAACTAGATGTCTCGGGTTCGAGCCCTAGGTATGGAATCACCTTTGTTAGGGAGCGTTGTATCCCCAAAGTACTTCCCGGTGCGAATCCGAATTTAGTCGGGCACCAATGTGGGTACCGGCCACCGGGTGGGAAACAAAAACAAAACTATCTGAATGACAGTAGATTACAGAAAATTGATCCTAAACTCATAAGTAAAACTCGCTGTCTTGCCTATGCTGCAGATTGGATGGATTGGAATACCAACTGCACCAGCTTGGCTTCCAACAGAGATGCTAATAAAGGTAATTAGCCTTCGAATTCATTAGAAATGCTAAAGCTATTTGCATCATTTCATGCTCATGTTTAACCTTATGGTACTTCACTTAAAACTGTCCTTGTTAACTAACCACACATTCTCAAACCAAATCCAAATTTTGCAGTCTGATAAGCTGGATTACGAGAGAATATAGTAGATGGTCCACATTTCGAACCACTCACATGTCAGACACGAATATATCAGAGGCTTACCAGATTGCCCTGTGCTAATTGAAGATGAAGAGAAATGGGATGGACACACGTCCATAACTTACTTCACTTCTTTTAAAACTTGTATCTCATTTAGTTATATAGAAATATTAAATGAGAAAAAAAGAGAGCTGATATCTAAGGAACCTTTTCTCTTTCAGTGAGCAAGAGTCAAAGAAAACCAGACAAACAGGCTTGCTTGAGAAACCCATCAAAAAACAATTTTCTTGGGGTCTTTAGTTTCAGTAGAAAATATAATTCTTTGCATCTTATTTCTATGTTCAAATTCAAATTGCAAGGCGTGTTACTCCAGCATTTCACTCGGAAACTAATATATTTAAGGATGAAGTTAACCAAAAATGTCCACCTAGCAAATATTAGTACTGCACGATTTCAAATTTTTGGTACTTATTTGTATTCCATGGTTCTTTAGTTATTGCGAAGTATATAATTTTACTCTTAAAGATCAAGTCAATCATCTTCTGATATTGACACTAAAAGAAAGTCAAACCGACTGTTAACAAGCTTAATAGAACTATTCAATAGGTAATTGATTCACACAAAAAAATGGACAATTCAGTAGGTAACAGTACGAGAGAGAAATTCCAGTAATGACTAAGGATGTTTCAGATCAACTAAAATAAGAGATCAGTAAACAAAAAATACATTCCACATTGAATAGAATGGAGTCATCCACAAGAATATTGCAATGTCTGTTTCAGTATACCATAAAATGTTGCATATAAAATTATGATGTACAACAATATACAATAGGCAGGTAATAAGGTCTCAGTGTACACAGCAGCAGCCTGTATAAGGGAAGGTAAAGAGTAGGTGTATGGAATATATGCTATACACATGTATCTTTTTCTGTAAACAATGATGTACTTGGTATCAATGTCTGGAAGTTAATGAGGGTGGAGAATGAAATGGAGAAACTAACAAATAGAGGATGCCAGGAAAAAGCAGAACTTACAGCCTTCTCCTAGCACGCTTGGTCTCATTCATAAGCTCTGTCAATGAAGGGAGGGGTCGAGGCACTCTCACATTCATAGAGCGGTATATTTTTCTCAAACTTGGATTATAACTCTTCGACAATCCAACAGCTGACTCAGAAATATGTCTACAATACTCTGTTTCTGTATGCATCAAGATCTCTTTACTCCTAATGTCTAAACCTTCACTTATTGTCAAGGTCTTACCTTCTTCCACTTCAACTTCTTCCTTAAATGAAATAACCTCTAACTCGTCAGAACCTCTCAATACAGAATCATTATCTGGAAGTATAGGCTCCTTCTCTTCATGTTTGAAATAAGAAGCGTCGAGCCCAAGCCTCGCCCTACCAAATAATGTTACTGGGGCTGGTTTGCTTGGAGGAGAAAGATGTGACTGCCTATAAATGCTAAAAGATGTCGTCGTCGACTGGGAGTTGTCTGCATAATCTTGAGCATTGCTCTCGGCCAAAGGTGATCTTGAAACCTCAACCACATCTGGAGCTGTTGCTGCATCAACTACAGATTCCACGTCCACAGTAAACCCCAAAAGTTGCCAGAAAGGGTCATCAAAATTCCGATGTTGATTAATACAACGCTTCACATAATCCAGCTCCATAGCCTTGCAACTAGCTGTTGTAGAGACGACCCACCTAGGTGCAAGAAGTTGCAAAGCCCACTCCAGTTCTTCCTTCGATGAGTGTATGGAGTAACAAATATGCCAGACACCGAATATATCTCTCACTGGTTGATCACATCTTTCTTTTTTCCGCCCCTCAATATCCGAAATACCATCATCGCATGCATACCACTGTGCTGATGGTCGAATAATTAGAGGCTCATGCTGACAAGCAGACCGAGCCTCTGAGATCTTGGCTTCAGCTCTTTGGTACAGTTTCGGAAACCCATCAAACAATTGAAAACGAGAAGATGAGTCTTCAGACAAGATTTCAGGCACCATTAGTTCCAAAGCCTGAAAGCATTCTGGAGTTTTAACTTTATCAACATATATCTTGCAACCAAATGCCTGTGAAACATGCACAAGAATCTCCTCGTGGCCAAGAAGATCACACGTCAGATATACTGTAGGAGCCTGAGGGTGCTTCCATATGCAATTGATGACCTGTTTGTTAGAAAAACAAATTTTGTGATGTTAACAATATTTATCTATCAAACAAGTGAAGAAAAAAGAACGGTCAAATGCCACATAGAATAAGGGTGAAAGACTGTAGACTAAAGACGAATGATAACATTTAAGGGGTAAGCCATTGTTGTATTGGATAAACATGATAATAAAGGAAGAGACTTAAGTATGAATTAGTAGATGGCAAAGGCGAGTCTCTGCTCTAGCAATTGATTTGAACCCAGAGGAATTTTGATTAACTGGACATTCTGCATCTCCAGCGTGAATGTACAATTTTCCATTTTTAATTCGTTCTAAAATAGAGTCCATTTCAAGGCTTGAGCAATTAGCTGTTACTACAATACAGAAAAGCAACCAACAGTGCCACTAGTTCCCTTATTTAACTTTTAAGCAAATAAGATTTTTAAAAAGGGACACGTCCTTTCTCATCTCAATACTCTTTCCAGGCAAGCATGAACAAAAATGGTGATATTGTTCCTCCATTGATCAAGAATTTAGATTTCAACATTGGGATGGCAAGAGTACCAACAATTTGAAAAATCTTAATTGCAAAACAGACGGTGGACTAAGACAACATTTTTTTCTGCCAAACAAAATTCTGATCACCCTAACCAAGAACAGTGCTTGATGTCCTTAGCAAAGGAAAAATCACTGTTGAGAGCCAGTCCAAGTTGTGGGTTTAGGGATTTTGTAAGCCTTTAATTTAAAAGGAAAAAAAATCACTGTGAAGACTTACAACAGTGCACTAAGTTTCTTCACTAATTGTAAGCCATACATAAAATGAGAGTGTGAACTAACTTATTAGAAAAGGAGAATGTAAATTATTTGCCCTTGATATTTGAGAAGCATAAGCTCGCAACTTCTAATGTTTTCTCACCACTCGCCCATGTGATTCACCAACAAGGAAGCAACCTTCACAGCATATGCAGGTAGACATTTCTAACTATGTCAGCCTCCCGGAGGACTCAGTATGGAATAGTATATTTTTCTTCAATACAAACAAAAGGGTGCTGTATATAAAAATCCTGAACTTCCTCACTCTCATTTTAGGCATCTAGCTGTTTTTGTGCTTGCTTTAAAGGGATAAGCTCAAGTTCACACCACTTGTCTGCCCTATGAGCTTCAGTGCAGTTTGCTACTGAATTGTAAGATTTAGCAGGAATTCATGCATTAACTAGATCCAATGACAGGACTTAATCCATATAGGGTGAATTGAATCAAATCATAGGACACAAAACTCAAATCAAGAAGCATCTGAAAACCAATTGCCCACCAGGAAAGAATACAAGCTTTTTTCTACTATTCGGTGAAACCAAATTCTAAAGAGGTTCTCCCAAACAAAGATGAAATAGAAACAGTAGGTTTAGTCCCTCTGTTTTTTTTTTTTTGGCGGTGGTTAGCTTGCGCCCGCCTCGACTATTCCACCGGGTACCTCCTATCTCTCACCAGCACTGGTACCAGGTAACTCTGTCCACCAAGGCTTAGGCAAATACGAAGTTGCTTGGACTCAGGTGTGGTGTCCGATATGGGTGCGGATCTAGAGGTTGGACTTCATGATCCAAAATTTAAGATTTGGGGGTACGGATATAGGTGCGGGGATTTGGCTTTCTCAATCGATTTTGGTCAAAGTACTCTAAATCAATTGACCAGATCTAGTACGGATTTCACATCCACACCCAAGTCGTGTCGACACAGGTGCGCACCAGGGTTTGAACCCGAGACCTCATAGTTCTCCTTCCACTTCATTGACCACTAGGCCAATACCCTTCGGCCTTCGCTGCTAGATTTCGTCTATTATTATCTCAATAATTTACAATTAATTAACTATTGAAGAAAAATTCATATCATGCTTATGGCTCTTGAACTCTTGACTAACTTACTGCACTTAACAAGAGCATTAAAGCACTGCAGCCAGAACGCGATTAACAAATCCACCATAATCCATTTAAAAAGAACGAGTGTTAAAACCTGTTGGATTGCTGACTGCCTGCTGGACATCTTCAATGGAGACCGACCAAATGTGCAATCAAGGAAAATACAATCAATTTGGCACTTCGGTTCTTTTCCTGGGGTGCCCACATACTTTAGGGGTAATTGTTGCAAACATTCAATCGTGAGTCTGCAATCTCCTGTATGCAGGATGTTTCCAAATTTGCCTTCATACAAGAACATCAGAGCTCCTGCAAGTTGTTAACATCATGCCAAATATTTATCATTGTAACCCTGTTACAACAGATGTACCATAGAAGAACAGGAATGCAAGATGAGAAACTAAACCATCAAACTGAGGCTTTGAGGCATGTCCAAGATACAATCTTTAAGGCATTATTTTACTCCAATCACCCAGAGTTTGCACATTGACTATAACACCACTTATGGATGCAACATAGCCTCAAAAATATTAAATAAGACTAGAAATTAAAAAAAGAGCAGCAGATTGCAGTTTACTAGGTAGAGACTCTAGTAAACCTGGAGTCATAAATCAGTCTCGTGTCTTGGTATTGCCAAAGATTAGCAAAAGGTTGCATTTTTTCAAGAAAATTCACAAAATTATTGATGCTCTTTCTTAGAAAGTTACATCAAGTTAATTACCATCCACAAACATGAGACTTTTGCAAATACGAGAATTTGCAGTTTACTAGGTAGAGACTCTAGTAAACCTGGAGTCATAAATCAGTCTCGTGTCTTGGTATTGCCAAAGATAAGCAAAAGGTTGCATTTTTTCAAGAAAATTCACAAAACTATTGATGCTCTTTCTTAGAAAGTTACATCAAGTTAATTACCATCCACAAACATGAGACTTCTGCAAATATGAGAATTTTTCTCCCATCAGCATCACCTTAGGAGCCAAAAAGAGCTAGACAGAAAAAAACATCAAAAAATCTCCATAGAGCGGATTAGAAAAAGAATGAAATTCCCACATAATAATACATAAGCATGAGTCACCTAGCTAATAGATAGGACTGTTGCATAAGAGCAGCAGCTCATCCCGGGATGAGCTCCTAGTACTGACCTAACTAAAGTAAAAGGATCCGCCTAGGACCAAGAGAGGAGAACACCAAGTATTGCTCACGTCGTAAAACTGAAATGAGGTGGTCACCTTGACACAACTTCCGCAACTTGGTAACTCAACAATTCCGTCAGTTGTCACTACACTAAGTCAGAGACATGTCAGATAAGTGTGCGAGCTGAGAGCACAAAGATAAATACATGGATAAACAAATGGACTCACAGTGGAGGGTGCCATCATTACATTTGAACAATGAGGTAACAAGTCACATTTCCTTTTTATTTACCAAAAAAGGTCAACCTGAGTGCAGATACAGTTACCTATAAACAGCTTGGAGTATGAACCACATAAATCTGGCTCAGGATGCCAGGACTACTTCTGACAGCCTTAAAGACTTACTGCAACCAATGGGAAAACAGACAACTACAGGGTGTTGAAGGAACATATTTCTGTTTCATATTGAATCCTCAGACATTTTGTCCACTGCTATCGCTTTTGATGGAGGGAAAACTTTGTAAGACTCTACTCGGCAAATGCTTCCATTATTCAAGCAGCTCTCTCAGTTGCGGGTACTCACTTTCATTGGATATGGATCATACAAACACATCCAGTCATTGTTGGGTCCTTTGCTTTCATTTTATCAATTTGGATTACACACGCACACACAAAACATAAGCAACCAGAGCAGGCATTCTATAAGCTAACTCTCCCATCTTAATCCACTCCCGAAGTCACTCATGTTATTGATAAGGTCACTCAGTGATAGGAATATAACCCTCTGCAAGCCCAAAATTTCATCTCGACCATCGTCATTTCCCTGTGCAGGTCGAATGAAAGCACCTTGAAGCACAAACCCTTCTCTTCTCATCAGCTAACCTACAAACTGCCCATTGCCACGTACTACACTTAAAACCACTGCGCCATTCACCAGTAATTTTTAACAGTAAGTACGATCTCATCCATCCACCTCACCCGAGGGATCGTAGTGCAGATAAGTATAATACTAAATCTTAGCCAAAATGCACAGTTCACCTAATAAGGAACTGGGGGAAAAGGCGGAGAGAAGAAGTTATTCCGGCTGACGAAGAGGAGAGAGAGGAAGGCCCGGGATTTGGACCAAGTGAGATGCATCAAGGACGGCGATGGTAGAGTATTGATGGAAGATGCTCAGATTAAGAGGAGATGGCAGACTTACTTTCATGAACTTTTGAATGAAAAAGGGGATTGGGATATTGAGCTAGATGAACTGGAGCATTCCGAGAGTCACCGTGACTTTGGGGACTGCAGACGCATCGAGGTTGAGGAGGTCGTTGGAGTTATGCGTAAGATGAGTAGGGGCAGAGCGATCGAGCCAGACGAAATTCCGATTGAATTTTGGAAGTGTGTGGGCAGAGCAGGCTTGGAGTGGCTGACTGGGTTGTTTAATGTTATTTTTAGGACGAAGAGGATGCCGGAAGAGTGGAGGTGGAGTACGGTGGTTCCGTTGTATAAGAACAAAGGTGATATCCAGAGTTATAACAATTATAGAGGTATCAAATTACTGAGCCATACCATGAAAGTTTGGAAGAGGGTGGTTGAAGCGAGGGTGAGGAGGGCAGTGTCTATATCCGACAACCAATTCGGGTTCATGCCGGGTCGTTCTACTACGGAAGCTATACACCTTATTAGGAGGTTGGTGGAATGGTACAGGAAGAAGAAAAAGGATCTGCACATGGTGTTTAGTAATTTAGAGAAAGCGTACGACAAGGTTCCTAGAGAAGTTCTCTGAAGATGCTTAGAGGCAAAATGTGTGTCGGATGCCTACATTTGGGCAATTAAAGACATGTATGATGGGGCTAAGACTCGGGTTAGGACAGTAGGAGGCGACTCTGAGCAGTTCCCAGTTGTTATGGGGCTACACCAAGGTTCTGCGCTCAGCCCGTTTTTATTTGTCGTAGTGATGGACGCGTTAACACACCATATTCAAGGGAAGGTGCCATGGTGTATGTTATTCGCCGATGACATAGTTCTGATTTATGAGTCGCGAACCAGTGTTAACGAAAGGTTGGAGGTCTGGAGACAAGCCTTTGAGTCTATGGGTTTCAAGCTGAGCAGGACGAAGACGGAATACCTGGAGTGTAAGTTCAGCACTGAACCGAGGGAAGTAGGCATGGAAGTGAGGCTTGAATCACAGGTCATACCATGTAGTGGCAATTTCAAGTACCTTGGGTCGGTTATCCAAAGGGGAGGGGAGATTGACGAGAATGTCACACACTGTATTGGGGTGGGGTGGATGAAGTGGAGGTTAGCATCTGAAGTCTTGTGTGATAAGAGAGTGCTACCGATACTCAAAAGGTAAGTTTTACAAAACGGTGCTTAGACCGGCCATGATGTATGAGATTGAGTGTTGGCATGTTAAGAACTCACATATCCAGAAGATGAAAGTAGCAGAAATGAGGATGTTGAGGTGGATGTGCGGTCACACTAGGATGGATAAGAATAGGAATGAAGATATTCGGGAGAAGGTGGGCGTGGCTCCCATTGATGACAAGATACGGGAAGCGAGACTCAAATGGTTCGGACACGTACAAAGGAGAAGCCCAGATGCTCCGGTAAGGAGGTGTGAGCGGCTGGCTTTGGAGGGCACGAGAAGAGATAGAGGACGGCCTAAGAAGTATTGGGGACAGGTGATCAGGCAGGACATGGTGAGGTTTCAGATTTTCGAGGACATGGCTCTTGATAGGAAGTTGTGGAAATCGAGTATTAGGGTTGTAGGTTAGGAGGTAGTTGATTCTCGCTTACTTCATACCTTTGTGAGGCTAGTCTTGTAGGGTTTTTGTCGATGTCGGCTAGTGGCAATGTTGTGTCTTATTACTCCTTCGTTTACTATAGTGTCGGGTCTATGTATTGTCTATCACGTTTGCTTTGTATCTACTTTCTCATTTCCATGATCTTATTTTTCCTATGGTTTCTATTGGTGATATTGATATTGTCTATTTTCGCCTTCTTGAGCCGAGCATCTTTCGGAAACAATCTCTCTACTCCCTCGGGTAGGGATAAGGTCTGCGTATACACTACCCTCCCCAGACCACACTAGTAGGATTTCACTGGACCATTGTTATTGTTGTTGTAGAAATAAAAAATAAAAACAATTTATTGTAATGAACAAAATATACACAGCACCAAACTTTGCAGAAGAAAAACAATATAACCAGCAAGAATCTTCTGAACATAAAAGTTACTGGAAAACAAAAATCTCAAGGAAAAATCGAAAAAAAAAAAAAAGAACAGTCCCACTGCATATTCATATACGCACCTGGGCAATGATTGGCGTCAAAGGCAGTAACCGTGAAATCACCATCAGAGTCCTTGATCACTAAACATTGCCCAACCTCAATACCCACAAAAAATGATTCATCAAGCTGTCCAAAATACGTAATTTTTCAACATTTTCAGCCCAAATTGACAAAAAATAACAATTCGAACAAAACTCATCAAACTGATAACATGACTCGAAATAAAAATAAAAATAAAAATAAAAGGGTACCTGAGGAAAATGCTGGAGAACAAGAGTTTTGGTGAGACGCGAACAATAAATAGGATAAGAAGCGTAAGCGCAAATCCCTTGGGTGTGATCCTTGTGGGCATGTGTTAAGAAATGGTGCCTCTTTGTGCTTGACTTTGGACTCCATGTGTCTACTGAAAATGGCAGTCCTTTAAGCATTTCTATGGGCATTTTTCCTCTCTCTCACACACACACAACACAACACACAGTGGAATAATCAAAAAGAGCTAGGTTGGGGATGGAGATTTAAGATTTGAGAGGGAAACATTCAACATCTAAATTGGAGGTCGAAATGGGTGGGAAAATTGCGAAGCACGATTCGATGGAGGAATAATCGTCTGTGGTGAGCTTTAATTGTGGTAAGATGGGACCGCCAATTTGATTTCTATAAGTAACCGACTTTTTGACGGAGCACGATTAACTTTCTTTTAAGAAAATAATGAAGTTTTAAAATATTAGTTCTAATTTTTTGGACACATATTTGTTTACTCACAAAACGGTACAGTTAAATTTATAACATGGTTTATAGACAAGCGAATCGATTTGATCCCAAAATGATAAAGAAATTAAATAAAATGCAAAACTTAGCGTTGAACGTCTTCTTGAGCCGAGGGTCTTTCGAAAACAGTTTCCCTGTCCCTCGGGGTAGAGGTAAGGTATGCATACATATTACCCTCCTCAAACCCCACTAATAGAATTTCATTGGGTCGTTGTTGTTATTGTTGCAAGACTTAGCGTTGAAATCGAGATAAAATAGCATCAGCTTGGTTCCGGGAACAAAGCTTCTGAAGGCAGCAAATAGAATAATGTTAGACGGAAAATAAAGTATTATTCAACTTGGGATAATGTATAGCATAAGTTTGTCAGAATTTTTCGTATCTTACAATGGTTGTTTAAGTCATTATTTATAGTTATACCTAGGGAACAACGTCCTAGGATCAAGCCCCTCTTAAATGTCAATAATGGAGGTCGTTGATGAATATGTGTTATAATTCTGTACTGCTGTAATAAACAATTAAACTTTCTGAAAAAACAAAATAGAAAGTTAGTAATACTTGTTTAACAAAATAAATTCTGGAAAAAACAGTGTAGGAATAAATCGAGCCCACTGAATACACAGTGTGTTCTTAAGGAAATTATTCCCCTCAAGTACCCGAGGTGCTGGAATATATCCTCCCAGGATAGAACGATTTAACTCACCGGAGTGTTGGTACCAAAACGCCGGTGAACAGCGAGCCACTCGAAGGCTATAAAACATACTGGATTTTTTGTGCAGAAGAAGAAGAAGAAGAAGAAGCTCAGAAAATTTCGTAAGGAAAGATTTTGGGATTCAAACTATATTTATAGAGTTGCTGGCATTGTTTCTGAAAAGGTTTGCAACCTTTCAGAAACAGCCATGGCTGTTGGAACAGGGTTGTTTGAAATATTGCGGGAAAATGTATTTAAAATAATCCGGGAAAGAAAACGGGCCTGACCGAATCGGGTCGCGGTTCATGGGTTATTTCGGATTGAATTTTTCGTTAATTATTTAATTAATTAATTAAATAATTGAAAGAAATTTTGTCCAAAAAGATTAATCAATCAATCGATCTTTGACCAAATCCGAAGCCGAAGCCGAGCGAGCGAGCGACGACGGCGCGAGGCTTGCCTTCTTCTTAACTCTTTAAGATCTAGAAGAAGAGCAATTATATATATACCCATCAAAACCCTTTTCTTCCTTCGATATGGGACAATGTCCCTTTGCCAAGGGAAACTCAAATATTTCATTTTCCCTCCATTTTCTCATTCACCCTCTTTAAGCTACACAAGCTTAAAATCCCAACAATCCCCCACATGAATGGGGAATGGCTATAAAATAAAGGAATGCACGGACGCGTGTGTGTTTTACATGCAAGAATTAATTGCATATGGATAAGTAGGTTTCCCTTTGAACTTTGCGTAGTAAACTTATATCGGATATACTCGGTCAATCGGTAGATTTGATATCTTTGAACCGTCGAACTTTATTGTATACCTAGACAACATAAGTCACACAATCAATCCTTAACCATCTATGGTTCTCACGGTTGTGTTCGTTTCAGCCATGAACACCGCCTGGTTTCATGAGTGCTTAGAGAATGGGCCTTTACTTTCATTCCCCTTGAAGCGGCTTACACTTCACACTCACATAGGTGATTTCTAAACGTGTAATCCTATAGACACACTATCTGGTCATATCCTGCCAGACTTAGCAAATCATTAAAAAACCTTTAAGCTTTGTTGACTCATCAAAAAGCCTTAATGCTTTACCTCGATTTCTGAACATTGTCTTCATCACGAGAATGGGTTGAGTTATTTGACAATGTTGAACCGTCATTCATAACTTTGTTTGATCTCTTTGAACCTAGCTCGTAGGATCTCCAGTCTGCTAGGTAGAGTTACCGTCATGATGACTTGTCCTAGACCTTAACCCCTATTCCCTTTGATGATCTTTCAACTGCCTCTCTAGATAGGCCTTTTGTAAGTGGATCCGACACGTTATCTCTTGACTTTATGTAGTTAATTATGATAACACCATTAGAGAGTAGTTGTCTAACGGTATTGTGTCTCCGTCGTATATGATGAGATTTTTCGTTATACATAACGCTCCCTGCCCTGCCTATTGCCGCTTGACTATCACAATGTATACAAATAGGTGCCAAAGGTTTGGGCCAAAATGGAATATCTTCCAAGAAATTCCGGAGCCATTCAGCTTCTTCGTCGGCCTTATCTAAAGCTATGAATTCAGATTCTATTGTAGAACGGGCGATGCACGTTTGTTTGGATGATTTCCAAGACACTGCTCCACCCCCAATTGTGAAAACATATCCACTCGTGGATTTAACTTCAGATGATCCAGTGATCCAATTTGCATCACTATATCCATCGATCACGGAGGGATATTTGTTATAATGCAAAGCATAATTTTGGGTATGTTTGAGATACCCTAAAACTCGTTTCATTGCCATCCAATGTATGTGATTGGATTTACTTGTAAACCGACTCAGTTTACTAATAGTACATGCTATATCTGATCGTGTACAATTCATGATATACATCAAACTTCCCAATACTCTTGCATAATCCAGTTGTGAGTCATTTTCACCTTCATTCTTTTGAAGTGCATAACTACGTCAATTGGAGTTTTAGCAATTTTGAAATCCAAATATTTGAACTTGTCAAGTACCTTTTCAATGTAGTGAGACTGTGATAATACTAGACCTTGTGGAGTCTTGTGAATTCTGATTCCTAAGATCACATCAGCAACTCCTAATTCTTTCATATCGAATTTGCTAGCCAACATGCGCCTAGTAGCATTTATATCTGTCATGTTTTTGCTCATTATCAACATGTCATCAATATATAAACAAACAATAACTTCATGACCTGGAGTATTTTTAATGTAAACACATTTGTCGCACTTGTTGATGTTAAACCCACTTGCCAATATTGTTTGGTCAAATTTGGCATGCCATTGTTTGGGTGCTTGTTTA